AAAAAAAAAAAAAAAAAAAAAAAAGTTTTTTACCTTTGATGTCAACCTAGTATTAAATATAAGTCCTGTAAAATTAATCTAAGTTTTATTAACACAAAACAAATAATAAATAGCAGAACACTCTGGTATATTTTCCTCATTGTTTCTCTTTTCCCCTCTTAGTTTTCAAAGATGACTGATTAATCATTGTTACTTTCAAGACAGACAAAAAACAAATTTCACAAAATATACTAAAGCCATGATTTATCCTTCAAATTAAATTAATTTAACTAATGTTTGGTGTTAGACTAGGTGGTAGCATTCAAAGAAATGAGAGAGGGTCTCCATCCTCCAGAAGCTTAAAATCTATGGGAGGTATCTGAGCAATTGTTGTATGTCTACCTTATCCTTTTACCCTTCTATATTTTTAACATGTAGTGGAATTCATACTTTTTCCTTGCTTTTAAAGACCTTAGCATTAATTGCTATGGCTTATCTTATCAGTTGACTGTTACTAGGTGTACCTGGACAGCTGGAATTGATGGGCACCTGAGTCAGTTTTCTGAGTTTCCTGCAAGTATCCAGGAAACCAGAAAGAAGATACACTACACGCATAAGGGTGTGTTCATTTCCTAATTTAACTCAGGAACTGAACAGCTGGCATGTCACATGAAGATTAATAAACTCAAATGCCACAGTGGTTCCTTAGGCAGCTATGACTACTTTCACATACTGCTTCTTTCTCTGGTATTTGAAAAATAGAGACAAAACACTGGAAACAATCAGTGTTATCATTCCATATTCTCTGTATACATTTATAATAGTAACTCTGGGACGGTTTTCATTTATTAAAAATAATGTTTTATATTCATATCTACCTGAACATCGTAAGAGTCTTATCTCTCTGCATTGGTTCTTGAGAGAGGTTTATTCTTCAGAATTTCAGGGAGAAATAAAGTTGCATATAGCAGGTTGCCAATAGCAAACAGTCACTGTAGTCATGCATTTAAATTAAATTTATTGTTGCGTCTCTCACCAAGGTTTAAACCGAAGGAAGGGACTGGTAAAGGGAGATGATGAGAGATACCTGGTAACAATGCAGGGATTAAGTCCTTACATGCTGGACCCAGCATTCTCAGTGTGGAATCTGAAAGCCCTGTCTGGTCCCTTGTGACGCAATGTCATCTACTCATTGGCTCCTGACATGAACCAAGAATAGCAGTCTTTCCTGCTGTTGCATCAACAGCAGGACTCTTTTTCCCATTGATTTCAGTAATTTTTTTTAAGGAGTTGGGGAACAGAGGTGGGCAGGGGGAAGGGATGGTCTGTAGGATAATTTTCTGCCTAAAACACTCCTTAGAACGTAAAATATTAAACAACCAGTTCTCTGGAATATCTGAATATCCAAAGTCCTATTTTAAGAAGTTCTCTTTTGGGGGAAATTTCTATCAACCTTTAAAACACTGTTAAGAAATTCTAATAAAGATGTGGTAGTTTATACACTGCATTAAAAACAAGACCTCTTTTTAGATCTAATCATAGGACTGAATGTAATCAACTCCCTTGGTGTGGAAGCAATTTACTCTCTGATTTTTTCCTTTTCATAGATGGGAAATTTATTCAGGCAACATGTAAGTCAAGCTACGTTGGTACTATGGGTTTTATGTTTATCAAACGTTCACAATGCATCCAAGAGTGCAGGGCTAAATAATTCTGCTCTTCTGGAGTAATGCTATGAGAATTTTGAAAAGAAAGGGAAAAAAATTCTGTGCCTACACTGTGTAAATGGGCATTTAGAAGATTTGCTTTGCAGACATTTTCAAATACAGGTATACTGTGCTTCATGCACAGATCTGCCTGAATAATTAGATGCAGATTCAACTTTCATGCACTAGAGAAACTGCTTACTGGCACATCCTTTTATATTGCAAACAATCATATTTTTATCTATCTGTTTTTAAATTCAAACTTCAGCTCAGTGGGTGTTTTTTAAAAGCAGAATGGTATTCCATGCTGCATATTAAAAAGGAGGAATCTTTACAGTAAAACTCAAAAAATGCTCCTGTGCTTCAAAAAAGTAATTATTTAGAGTAGCTTGAGCTCCCTGTTGTTTTCATTTCTGCAGACCACACACTTGCCAGGATGAAATATGGAGAGGAGGAAACTCTATCACACTGTTCCCAGTAATAAAAACAGACATGATGAAGTGAGATGGGCCTCATCTTCAGTGCCTCCATTCCCCATCTGTGCTGGATTGAGGGCCTGGTGTCTGTGTGTGGGGCCTGCCAGATAGATCGCACACCTCATGAATCAGGAGAGCGCCTTTCCTCATTCTTCTCTCTCCTACACGGAGACACAGCCCAGCCCTGCACCAGTGAGGCCTCTCCACAAAGCCTGATGACCGGAGAGCTCTCTGCAATCCCAAAGGCACAGGGCCCAAAGGAGCAGCCAGCTTTCCACATCCGGGTATAGAATTGTAAAGAGGAAGAAAGGCATAGGATTTGGCGTCCACATCACTTGCTGGCTCGAGACCTGCGCGAGCTACTTAACCCCTCCAAGACTCATCTGGAAAATGATCCTAACAAGAACAGCTCTCTCATAGGTTGTTGTCAGCGTTAAATGAGACACATAACCCACAAGGCTATTACATAAAGTTGTTTTACTTGGTACTTAATAAATGTCAGCAATTATTACTATTATTGTTGTTACTACTGCTTATTATTAAACCCCTCTCTGGGAGGAGATAGGCAGTTTGCTCAGCAGGTTCAAGGCTTCTGATTTTCAAATTACCTACACATATCCTCCTTCTGTTATTGTGTTCAGGCCACTGGCTCCCCCCGGCCTGCCACTCGCTCTGTCCTGCCCCGCAGAGGACCTCAAGCAGAACAGAGCTCTCTGGGTGGAAAGGTCCCAGTCTGCAACACTGTAGTGATATGGTCCCATTTGCCCTTGTCTTCTATTACTGCTAAGGAAAAAAATCTATATATCCCAAATCACCCAACCCTTACTCAAAAACCTTTGCAGGGTGAGGAGTCTGCTGGTGAGCGGGTTTGACGAGGCACCCCACTGCAATTGTGGACTGATGGAAGCTAGCTTAAATGGATGTAACCTTCACAAACGGGCATTGGGGCTAAGCTAAAAGGCAACTCCTTGTTCTCTAACTAAACAAAGACATTCAATTTTAAAATCTCCACAAAGATCTTAACTCTCACAGTCAGCAACTACAACCCCAGATTAGAATGAGCTATATAGAATCGAGAAATTTTAGAGCCAAAAGGGACCTTACAGGGTGTTTCATGTAAGCATTGTGTTTTAAAGGTTAGGACACTGAGGCAGAGAGAGGAGAGCAGTGATCTGTAAAATCAAAACCTGGTTGATGGCAGTGCCAGGCCTGGAACCCACGATTCCTGAGTCCCAAGTACCTAGGAACCCTTCATTTACCCATTGACCCAATCCACTAGCCACTGTGTGGGAAATAACAAGGGAAGAGAGGAAAAAACCAGACTTACAGCTTCTTCCAAGTGCTGCTGATCTGGATTATCATTTGGTGTGTGCCTCAAGATTTCTCGAAGAAGCAGAGGGTATTTCACCAGACGGCTTCTTGGAATATCAAGGAAATTCCAGAGATCTAGTTTGCGGCTAAAGGGGGATTCTAAACATCGCTGTAGGAAATCTTGGACTCGGTGATCTTGTTTTTTGTGGTCCAGCAGAGCTTTGGCAGCTACTTGATTGCTGCAGTAGCTGTCATAGGAGCTGAGACAAGGCAGCTAAGAAGGAAACAAAGAGAAAATTGGAGTGTCAAAATAATTAAGCTCTGAAGCTCCAAGTGGCATCACTCACTGTGACTGAACAAACACTTAACTGGTCTCCAGGCCTGGCTAACATTCCTTTTTTCTTTTTTTAACACACACTCTAGAAAAGTAATTTTTAAAAATAAATTATTGGGTTTAAAATTTTTTTAAAAAAATTTTTTGTAGAGACAGTCTTGCTAATGTTGCCCAGGCTGGTCTTTAACACCTGGCCTCAAGTGATCCTCCCTCCTCAGCCTCCTGAGTCACTAGGATTATAGGCGTGAGCCACTGCACTTGGCTTTTTAAATTATTGGGTTTTTTTTTTAATTTTTATTTTTTTCCAACATTCCTTTATATGCATGGCTGGAGAAAACCAGTGGAATCTTCAAAATGGCAGGCAATAGTTTTCCTAGGCTCTGGCTTGCTTTCACAAAGTAATTGTGTTAGCTGCACATTTACTTTCTTGATTGTTAAGACCCTATCTTTTCTTTCTTTTTTTTTGCACTTTCTACCAAGCTAGAAACAAACCAAAATTATTGCATATGCATACAGATCAGAATTTTCCTAATCTTCCAAAAATATCCAGTAAGTTGAAAACCTACTATCTTATTTTTAAATTAGTTTAAAATTACAAATAAGAAACTAATCTAGAAGACTAAGTGGCACAAATGGGAGCAAGGGGTGAGATTCCACAGCCTAGTCCTTGGGGTGGCTTGGGGCAAGCACCTCTACATTAGTTTAAGATTCCAAGGTGGCCCAATTATAAAGGGCCTCAAGAAGTTAAAGCAAAAGTATGATTAGTAAAAACAATCAGATACAGGAAGCATTTATAAAAGTTTTAAAAATGAGTTCTGACAGGCCAGGAATGATTTTTGGCTATAACTAATGGTTAACATCATAATACCACACAATGAACAATTCAAGCTTAAAGATTTTAGAACATTTCAACTCCACTGCCTTCATTCCAGCAAAATGCTAATTTCCCTGACATGTCCCATCAGTCACATTGTGTAAACACCACGTCAGAGACTCAATGGAAAAAGCCTCTCATCCCCTTTTTCTACTTCTCCCTCTTAATGGCACCCGAGGGCTACCAGCCTCCAGAAAGTTACCAGAGGCAATAAGACGTAGCCGATGGCCTTGCCGCATTTGTTTCTCTCCCTTGGACTAGAAAGCCACATTCACTATGACACTTGCCCTTCAGAGGGATTTGGTGTGAGACACTGGCAAGACGGTGTCTTTCATTTCTGTATCCTCAGTACTTTCCACTGGGCCTACCACACAGCAGACAGTCAAAGCTTTTGTTCTGAATGAACAAATAAATGAATGTTTAAAGGAATATAAGATTAGGTAATATTTCATGGTTTGGGAACATTCCTTAAAAATAAAGCGTGGCAGCATCTGAAAGTTTAACTATTCTGCTGCTGCTTTTACATCTCTTATTGAAATTATTTTCCCAGTGACTGAAACCAAGAAAACATGCCAGTGAAGTAATATTTTAAAAGTTCACTGCTGAGCTTAACATTCGTTAGAAATGTCTACTTTCCTTACATGTTATTAAATAAAAAAAGAAAAACACACAAAAAAACCTCTACTTGTGTTAAAAAGAGCTGCAGAAGAAATTTTCTCCTCAACTTTATATTTGAAAGTAATGATAATTGGTACTTACACACACACACACACACACACACACACACACACACACACACACACACGCTCGCCCCAGACATGGTGCTGTGGCTTGTAATTTAGATTTTCGGAGTTAATTGAACAAGGCCTCAGGCCTTCTTAATTTCATTTCTACTTCCTTCCCTCTTAAAAAGATCTGGAAATGTCCAGCGTTTTCATTATGGAGAAACAAATCAGCAGTAACTATCGGATGCAAACTAGTGAGGAACCTTGCCCGCATTGCTGCTCACTGTCCAACGGGCCATTACGCCCTCTGATCCCACCGCCCTGCTACCATGGCAACCAAATCAGTCTCTGGTCCTGTGTTCACACCTGACAGGGTTTTCATTTCCTGGGCATGACCTGAAGGGCTATTTGGTTTAGCCATCGGCTACAAAAGACCACAAGCGATCTTTAACTATACAGGGGATGAAGAGTGGACACATCTTGGCTCCCAAATACATACACACTCACTTACTGAGAATGTGAGAGGTGAAAAATGCAGTGGTTAAGAGGACAGGCTCTGAAATCAGGGAGAATCAGGCACACAGCCTAACTTGGACAGCTGCTAGTCAGTGACTCTTATGAGCCCACTTACAAAATGTATATACTAATGTCTTCCTCTCTATTAATGAGATAAAGCACATAAAATGTGGAGCATGGAAACTGGCTTCTGGTTAAGAATCAGTAAGTGCTAGCAATCATTATCTGTCTCTAGAGTATTTTTGTTGAAGAAACTGTGGTTTAGAGAAGCCAAACTACTTGCTCAGCTGGAGGCAAAACCAAGAGTCTGAAGCCTGTTCTTGCCTCTCCCCTAAAGCTCTGAACTACTGGCCATCTCTTTAAATAGAGTATCAAGAATTTATAAGGGAAACTTGTTCACTCTTTAAAGAAATTCTTCCTATCTCCCTAATATTGTGAAAAGTGACAGAACAAATCGATTTTTTTTTGGCTTCCATGTACCCTGCCTCTCTCTTAGGAATGAAAATTTAATTAGAACCCAAATTAACATGAGAACTTGCTGCCTTGGAGAGCTTATAAATTATTTTATTACTGAAAAAATGTTAGCACGGAGGTAAGTCACTTGGGAAGGTGTTTCTTTACGATAGGGAAGGCTACTCAAACAAGCTGCCATTAGGGAGTGGGGGCCACTGATCCTCAGTAACCAGGGTGGTTCCCTGAAAAAACACAACCACTCTGTTTAAGGTCTTCAAAGTAAAAGTAAGTGATTCATTCTAAGGTCAAAACGACTGGCCAGGACTGACTGTTCCACTTGGAAGGCTCACTTGTTTAAAAGGGGGTTTTTTTTTTTTTCCACTTTTTTCCTTGGGGGGAAATAAATCAATTTTCCATGGGTCGAATGGGCTCTAACTTTTCTCATTCAAAGTTCACTAAGATGTTTATTTTGTTCTGTTAAAAAGAACAGAACTCAAACAGATGTACCCTTTGGTTTACAGTTCCCACTCGCATGGACACATCTGCAGTTAAAAGAGGAAAAACATTTAACAGCTCATCAGGCCTGATAAATAAGTGCCATTTCTCATGAAGTCTGGTAACAACGGGCCAGTTGTTTAATTTTAGGCTGCTCTTCAAGCTGCAAGTCCCCATTTGATGCCTGAAGGGTCTAGATAGCAACGGACCTGCATGGTCACACTTCCTTTGGGTATGTACAGAAAGAGACTGCAAAAGCTGCTCCCAGATTAAACCAATTTTCTAATAAAATGGACAAATATTTCAGAAAAAAAAAAGGTAATAACAAGGAAAATTCCTACAATTTTGCTTCTGGCACAACTTGAAAATTTGCATATGATGTTTAAAGAAACTATGTAGTTCTATATTGCTGTCTTGTCAAAAACAGCAGTTATCCTGCTAATTCTGGAGTGTGGCCTCACTGCCTCCTTTATCTCCATTCAAAGCAGGCCACAGACTCAGGAAGTTTAAGAAATACTGAGGCAGATCCTCTTCTCATTATACCTTCTCTGCCTCAAGTTGGCTGGCTCCCTTTTGAGAAATTTCTTTGTGGGCTAAAGAAGTTAAAATATCTACCATGGCTCGTAATAAAATGAAAGTAAAAAATATAAGATAAATGATCTCTCCTGAAATATTAAGGCACATTTCAATTATTCATCTTGGAACATTACTTGCCTTTCAGATACCCTTGGGATAGTTCAGCCTCGGTGCTAAAATTGACTCCTGAACTAAAGCTTTCCAAGTCATGAAATCCTCAAAGCTTCTTGATCAAAGCAGTCATTGAGAAGCATAAGTTAAGATAGGAGACCAATGTTAAAACTTTCTGCACATCCACAGATCATCAGGGTACAAGAACTGGAAGGTTTTAGGAAGGTTAAAATACAAGTAGTAACTGGATAAAAACCTTCACAGCACTCTCCAAACAGTGAAATGATCTCGAATACTAGCTGTTGTGGCAGTTCCTGTCTATTTTTTCTGGAACACTGTGTGGATCAGAGGGATGACAGATCTAATCTTGCCTGTAAGAAGTCATCAAAGTAATCTAATCTCATTATCTGCTTCATAACAAATGACAAACACCCAGAGCTGGGGTGGAACATTCAAGTACTCACAGAAGGAAACAGAAATGTATAGAATAGGGAGCAGTGGGTACTGTGGCAAAATAGAAAGTGCATGTCTTGTCTAAAGTAAATTAAACAAACAAGCAATATTATATACCCAATAAAACACAAATTCAGCCCCAGACCATAAATTTATAACCCCTAATCACAGCTTATTTTTGTTTGTTTGTTTGTTTAATTAAGAAAAGGAATGGGTTATATTGGGATGAAGGTCAGCATATACCCAAGCTCTCCTATAAAATTACTTAGGATCCTATATATGCTAAACATTAGAAATATTTACTTATTATCTTCTTTATAACGCTATATTTTAGATTTTTTTTATAGCCCAAAAAGCTTTTTTGGTGGTGGACAGGAATATGTCAATCAATTTTTATGGGACTAGAAATGGTAGTAATTATATTACTAATTAGCCTGAATCAAATATTAAGTAGTTTTATTTTTATTTGATGTGAAACTAATAATAGTTTCATCTGTACCTTTACTTATTTTATTGGAAAAAGGCCATGTTACTTTTAGATGCAGTAAATCTGTAATAAGAAAACAATTGTTTTCACGATTTAAAGTGATAAAGCCTAAATATAATTATAAATTTTATTAGGAATTTACTATTTTATTTTTTTCTGATGTGAAACCAATATTTGCCAATAAAAAATGTCTAGCTAAAATAAAACTCCACCTAAATTACTGAAATTTATCTTCAACCAAGACCAGAGAATTTTTCTTACCCAGCCCACGAGGATGGGACCAACATGTTCAGTCGAGCCATCAGGCTTACGAACATCTCGAAGCTGACTAAGGAGCTCTGGCAAAAAACAAACAGAATGCTGATTTTGTTAGGCATTCAAATACAAACAGGGCTGGAAGTAGGTTCTGGGTGATTCATATTAAAGGTATTACATAAACACTGACTCGCTATAAGAAAACTCAATTAAGGCAACAAACACTCTGGTTTCTCTTCAGAGTGTATAAATCAATTAAGGCCACAAGCCACGACTCATTCCTGCAACAAAACTATACCTTCGTGCAGAGGAATTAGAGAGTCCAGTGTTCCAAAAATTTGATTCAACTCTTGTTCTGTCATTATGGAGAGTTTCAGCATGGGGTCGTGATAGGCCTGCATGAGAAGGGCAAGAAATGGACGCAAATATTTAAAAACAGAGGCAGTAAACTGCTCATACAGGTGGTCCCTGAGAGGTTCCATCAATAACCGAACTCTGGCTCTCTAACAACATCTTCTCCTGTAACACTACAGAAAGCTTTTTTCAAAAGCTTTTTTATTCTAATATATTATACATCTAGGAAAGAGCACAAATCCTAGGTATAGAGCAGATCTGAGTGTTATAATATTTTTAAAATCAACAAGATCCTGCATCTTGGAAAATTCCCACTTTATTCAAAATTAGCTACCAGCAGGTTCTTTTTCAAT